GATGACCTGGATGACTGAGAACCTTCACAGACACAAACCACACTGTTGCATGTCAAGTGAGAGATCAACAAACAATAAGGTTGAGGAAAAAAATCCAATATAAAACTTATTGTAGCTGACTTAGGGGTTTATATTTCAGGACAAACACATCACTAACCATCACAGCTAATTCTCTTTAGCTGACAGTTTCTTTCTTTTTTTCAAATTTCCCAGTCCTTAACATAAGCACTTCAGCCCAGCTGAGCTACGCCATGCCAGCTGACTTCAAACCTCCAGATTCTCTTCAGCCCGCCTCGTCCATCTCCTACTTCCCTTACTTTGAGTCCACATACTTGGCTGTTGCAGCATCGCTCAATGGCGGGAATGTGTTGGCAAGTTTTGTGGAGATGCTGACTTCCTGGATGAGAGAGCTTGGTTTGTATTCTTCTTCTATTTTCTAGACCTTAATCCATCGTCATCCCTCTCAGGAAAACCAAACAGTGCAGGCTGACTTGCAGATGGACACAGACACTGTGATGCCACACATTAGTTTTATTTTTTAATCATGATTATTACAAAAGGCTTAAAAAAGTAGAATAGCTTAGTAAAGTCAAGTACAATATAACGAAACAAATTATTTCAACAGTTTCATATTCATAAGGTGACAACTTCTCTAAAAATCCTTCCCCCTCTTTACTCTAAAACGGATTAAAATGTAAAATTGCGCATCACATTGTGTATTGATAAGATTTGTGAGACCAAAAACCTCAATAAGAAAATGTTTACTGACACTTTGCATAAACCGGCGGATACCAATATTCAGGGTTGAAAAAGCTGTATTTTGGCCATTTCTTTTCTCTTTTCAGGCACAAATCATAAACAGACTTCCCTAACGTTTGTTATGCGTAGTTATTTATGTAATTATTTAACCTAACTGCTCGGATTAGCTGGATGTTGTGTTTGTGGCTTTCCAAAGAAGTGTGTTGCCAACAACAAGAGCTCCCACTGGTGGGAAAACTATGTAATTTCAAAACTCAAGACATGGTTGAAGGATGTTTCTTCTGTCTCTTCTTTAGTTTTTACATTTTTTTTATTCATCAGCAGTTATAATATTGATACAGATAGATCAGCAAATAGCTAATGCCAGCTGACATTGTTGATTAATCCTAGTCTTAGTTGTACAAGTGAGCAGCAGGGACGTGTTATCATAGACTTTTTTTTACAACTGTTTCAACCAGATGGACCGCTCCCTGTTGGCCATTAGGAAAAATGTATTTTTATGATATATCTTCATTATCTTCACATTTCACACTTGATGATTACGCTGTGCCCATCATTTATATACAGTCTTTACATAAAACCTATAACTAAAGGGAATGGCACTATAGACACCAGGTTTAAAACTGTGGTATATTCTGATATACAGAAAGTTTTATCTGCTGCTTAATCAGGGTTTATGTGAGCTCATTTGGAAAGATCCATGTACACCTCACAGGCTCATATACTTAATATATTCATAGAGATGATAAATGACACCTCTCTAAACTCGTTACTGGAGATGCAAGAACCAAAATACATCCCAGCTTTATTCAGAAACGTTGGCAAACAGTTCTAGGGAAAGGTTATACTTGCAGATCAACAATCAAAGCTGCTTAAAGATGAAAGCAAAGACCAGAGATGGTGCAGAGATTAGAGAAAACTGACATTAAATGAATAATTAATCATGAATGCAATAAACAAAATAACAACTGTAGAACAGTTAAACTAAAGTCTGCACAGATAGATGACACTAAAATGCCCCCCTCTGCCGCACCCCCCCCCCCCCCCAATCTCCACAGGTGCAGAGCTGAGTGACTCGTGCTTATACGAAAAGCTGATTCGTTGTGCCCTGAACCAGGAAACCAGCAACCTTAGGGTGAGTCCTACTATCTTGGGAGAGAGACATGACCCTCTCTGCCTGGGCCACGTGACTGGCATCTCCACCTCCAATCTCTCCCTGGGTCATGTGATCAGGGCTCTCTGCCATGGAGTCCTGGACAACATCACCTCGATGATGCCCGTAGAGCATCTGCAGGAGGCGGGGGTCCGCAGGATTGTGGGCAGTGGGAGCGCGCTCGCTCGGAACGAAGTGCTAAGACAGGAAGTGGAGAAGGCGTTCCCTCTGCAGGTGGTATACGGACAGAACGCAGACTCTGCTTTGGGCGTGGCAATGATTCTCTGTGACCGCCTTTGAATTGGACTCGCTATCCAGTATTGTCTGTTTACATGACTGAGAATTTTGCACATCAACTAAAGCTGACCCTAACAAATCTTACACAGCTCATTTTTATTTTGAATCTTAAAGAAAAGGCTGTGTTTGACAGGACAGAGATCCAATGTTAGCAATTTTATAGGACCAAAAGATAGAAGATGTTCGTGAAAGCTCAAAGATTTTACTGTGACTGAACAGCTCTCATCAATATACTGGGCATTTCTGATATTTGGGGTTGGATTTTGTTACAGTGTAAGTCACAATCAAAGGACGGCATCTTTTTCCTAGACCTAGCTGCTCTTCATTCCTCAGGAAAAAAGTCAGGCCTCTGTCACTTAGCTTTACAGCTGCTTAATGCAGCACCAGACAGATGCATTAAATGATAGAGGCAACAAATTCAAACTTGTTAACTGTAGGTGCCTGAAATAAAATAATGACATGGAGAGAAATCACAGTGAGTTGGAATGCTTTAAAGCTTCTGCATGATTTATGTTCCCTGAGATGAAGATGCAATCAACATGTCAACACTGAAGCAGAAAACAGCATGTTGAGGTGCCTTCATTTTAGGTGTCTGGGACAGATTCATTTGTAGTTTCCTGTGGGATGGGTGTTTCCTTTTCAGCTGCCTGATTGAAACAGGTCGAATCTTTGTGCGTTTGTGGGTTAAGTATTTCAAAACACTGATTGATCAGAATTCAGTCTGATCATGAAGCGCAGATTACCAGGGTGATCCACGCTTGGTTTAGAATCAACCAGTGTCATAATAGCAGGAATCCAATGGAATCGTTTCATTTTTAGCACCTTTTTTCATTCTTGAGAATGATGAGAGACTTGAGTGTTTGTTTCAGTGTAGACTCTCACAGTGCCCGTCAACTCCCACTGAGCCTTATTTTTCTTTTTTAATCGCACTGTCACAGCTTGGCTCACAGGCTCAAAACGGAGGTAGTAACTAGTAATGAATCTTTTAACTAATTGGGCCCAAGTGTAGCTCATGCAGCCAGTTACTTCTACAAGTAACAGCACTATAACCACAGCAGAGACACCTAGTGGCTGGGGGTTGTCACACTCTTCCTGAACACCAGCTGAATCCAAATCATTGCTTTCCCCCCCATTTACACTACTGCATATAAAATAGTTTTACTCAGTTACAATGTCTCATTTTCAACCACACACTGTTGTATCATGTTCACCAAGTTTACTGCAACAGCCTCCCCAGTCAGTGCTAACTCCACTCTCTAACTCAGGAAACCTGGTGCTTGGAATAGGCACTTGAAGAGTAGGCTGGAAAAAATGAAGGAGCTGGAAAGCTACCAGAAAACTGAGTATAGTCTCAAGAATAAGTTGCTCTTGACAAAGCACCACAAAACATCAAATCCCTGGGTGCTGGTTTATCTCAGTTGGATGAGCAGGCAACCATATGGCGCGTGGCTGAGAGTGGCCTGCCCAGGTTCGAATTTGACCTGCAGCTCTTTGCCACATTTCTCTCTCTCTTTTTCCCATCAATCTTCACTGCATCTGTCTAATAAAGCAAAAAAAAAAATGTATATACATATATATACAAAAACCCCATAAGATCCCTGATGTGATGGATGTCTGAGCCATATGATTGCAAAAACAAAAAAGCCAGTGCATTTGGACAACAGAATGAGTGCAGGAAATCGAATGAGTGATAAAGACTGATGTGTCACTTGCTCTGTTAGGGGAACTTGCTAGGAACTGTTCAGTACATCAAGTTTACTGACAAACTGAGCTGAACCCACCCTGTTCACGCAGTCTTCCA